GTGATAGTTGAGCTCAGTTAACCAAAGTATTTTACTATGCAATAGACCTGCACAGTTGACTGAGTTACATTTCTACTTGAGATTACTGCCCAAAAGAAAATTCTTGTGGTCTAAGAGTCTTTTCAGATGTTTGTCATTATTTCAATAATAACTTTGAATGTCCCAAGGAATGATGTAATGAGTTTGTTCATAACTAAATAGTCTTAAACCACTGCCAGTTATAAGAGAAACTTATAAATTTTACAGGTGGAATTTTCAAAATGAATAAACATAAACAAATACATTTTTTTAAAAAAAGGAAAAAGTATTTTTAAAACAAGGACAGTGGCAGTCTTCAAACAGAAACCAGGGACTAAAGTGTTTGTCAAAATTCTTAATGGATTTGGAAGGATGTGTGTGTCTGTGTGCACATGCATAGTGTATAAATAACAGAGAGCACTTGTAAGTAGAGTTTTTCATAACCCTGATTACAGTGTTCTGATATGTTAAAAATTGAACTCAATGACAATTATAAGGCAATCTGCATGCATTTTCTCAATGTTCATACCAGAAAAAGGAAACCACCACCTACTTTTAAAAGGCTGGTACCATTTTGACACTTCCTGACTAACCCTACAACTCATTCAGTCCTAATAAAATCTAGCTAAAATTAGGAAGATAAATAATTTTCTAGAGAAAATTATAACTCAAGCATCTCATACATCTATGTATAGTGAGAAAAGACTATTAAAGTATCCCATATAAATTTTCAGTAATTGAAATTAAATCAAACTGTCTTTGAAAATGAACAATTGCACCATCTTCATAGGGTTTAATTATACTTCTGAAGTCGCTCTGTAATATTATACAATATAAGAATTGTCTGATTTATAGTGCAGAAAGTCTAGCTTAAAAATTGGAAACTAATGTGAATGAAAGAGATGACAGAAATATCGCATGCTTGGTCTCCTGCAGAGCTTACAGAGGTCACACAGAAGTGCTGAGTCTGGTGATGGAACTACATTTATTTATGCCAAAATTGCATGGCTCAGATAATCCACTTGAATATATATACATATATATAAATATAATGAGACTGTTCCCTTCAGAATGTGAGCCTGTCTTAGAAAATTATGACACTGATACACTCGGGTACTAAAGATTGATTACACTGTCCTGAACCTGGTGTTTTATACCAAGCAGCATATCTGTAACACTGTCAAGCTGGAAATCTTTTGATTTTCATTCACCATTATCAGATAGGATTATCAAAGCTTCTATATTAGATATTATCACACATCTTTTTTCCAGCCTTCTTTTATTAATGTACAAAGAAAAAAAGGAAAAATCAAACTGAAGCTCTCTTTTTTAAAGTCAACAATTTTAACATGCACTCACAGAATTCTCTTAAAATTAAACCCCAGCAACGAAGGATGGAAGGCATATGAAGAGTTTACGCTACTAATCAGTCTAAATTCAGACTCACAAAACTGTTGCCAACACTGTGACCCAGAACTGAACCCACTGGCTTTCATGACTTAAGAGTCATTAAAACGACCGTGATGTCTCAATTTTCCATGTCCCTATTGTTATGAGCATATTTATTTGTAACTGCACACATAACATCACCTCCAATATCAGTCACTGGTCAGTAGGCACCAAAACCGGTGTGTCATTTACCTTTTCTCTCTGAAAATTAAATTGCAAGCTCATTTATCAAGTAGTAAATTGCACAGGAGGGAGCAGGAGCTCCCGGTGTGGCTTGACTCTGAAGACTCACCACTGTCAGTAGCCTTCCCTAACAGGGGTCCGCTTTCTGTCATGAGATTTTCCTGAAGTAAAAGCCCTGCTGACTGTAAGTAATGCTATCGCATCCTGGCAAAAAAAAAAAAAAAAAAAAAAAAGCAAACAAGCAAACAAAAAGTCTCAACGAAATCTATCAAATTAAGCCATGGAAAACGACTTTCAGCATTTCAGCATTTCACTCCAACCTTTTTCCCAGCGAGAGGCTGAGGACAAGGCGAGCAGTGTCTGCAGAGGGAGACCATCGGCGGGAGAAAGGAGTCTTGTGCACCAGTGCTGGGACTAGAAGGGAAGAAGCTGTAAAATTACCATGCAACTGCTTGCTGAAAATGCTCTGAGTGAACACACTGCCATTCCATACAGCGCCTATTCATGCTCCACAAGGTAGCACGCTTTCTGCTTATTTGTTTTCCTCATTCCATTGGTAGACTGGATTTAAAAGTTACTTCAAACATTTACTCCTCTGAAACGTCAAACGGAGTCAAAATCACATCCCTCACAAATGGTGAATCGTCTTCACATCAGACATTCAAATTTGACTCATTTGCCCACTGCAGGGATGTTATTCTTTATTGCCAAATATTCCCATTACTTAGTCCCTGTAATGGGAAAGAAGCATTCAGTGAATTGGCAAGATTGACCGTGAGCTACACGAGTATCCCTTGCAAGCCCAAACTCACCTAACATCCACACTTTTTTCAGGTAAGTTCACGCCTATATACAAACACCAGGTGAAAGCATTTCTGGAGTAGAAAGCTTGAGCACACTTGCTGTCCTATTTGAGTCTTAAATCTTCGCTTGTGTGGCCTGAAGCTGAATGTGCTAATGCATGCCAATGTGCCAGCAGGTATTTTAAGCATGCTCTGGACATTCAGGCCAACAGTTAGCAACAAGGATGGAAGGTCATTGCATTTAATGTGCTTCTGAGACTGTTTTAATCTTGCAGCTGGAACAAAGCCTGAGACTATCCATTCTACTGACAGGGCTTCTTTGCTCTGAAGAATTTAACAGGCAAAGAAGATGGCTGTGACTCACCAGGCTCAGTGTTTAGGTCAGAGTTTGGCTGAAAGAATTGAATCGGTTGAAAAACTTACTCATCAAATGTTTCCTATAATTAATTTTATTAATTTCCATTTGTAGAGATTCATAATGCAAATATTAAGGTTGATACAACTGAAGAGCGAATGGAAGTGTGTGTGTGTCTGTAAGCACCAGAAGAAAGAGCAGAGCAAAGAGTTAAAAGAATGACCCTTACTGAAAGTAAAGGCTATGTTTCCAGGACACTGTTCCTGTGTTGTTTCTGTCCAGGCCACAGCACAGAGGACTTGCCAGCAGATGAGCATGCACTCTGCCACCAGGAGGGTAACATCCAGGTTGCGGCATATCACCCATGACGTTACTTTTCCTGTTAGCCCACCCAGAAAATAGACTGTAGACATAGTCTATATACTCCAGACAAGGAAAAATGTACTAAGGGCTGATGAATCCTAAAGGGTATAAAAGATCTGTTCATAAACTACCTTGCAATTTCTGATCAAGAAGAACCACAGAGACAGGATAAGGACTCGGTGGCTGGTGTACCTTTTCCCACGCTGCACACAAGTGATGCTCACCAGACCACACGAGCACACACATCTTGGTGCTTGTGAGAGTGTGGCTGTGAGAGTGAGTGAACAAGATCTATGAGGGGGTGACTGTGAGTTAAAAAAAAAAAATCAGCTTATTTAGAGATTTTGCAATTACATATTACCTTCCCTTTCCCAAAGTTCTCACACTGAATTTGGTTACGTGAAATACCCTGAATATTAAATGGTATAAAATAAGTCTTCAAAAAAGTAGCAATGTTCTGTGCTTCCATGACCCCATGCAAAGACAAGAAAATTAGCCTTTTTGTTTTCCCACTGAGTACATTTTTGCAGTCCACCTTAAACATGAAGAACGACTTCTTCAGTGAAATATTAATGCTGACATCATTAGCTACATGTAGCTCAGGTGGCTACATCTAGCATCTAGCTACATATAGCAGCATCTGCTTGTATTTTGCAGATGCTTGGTTTTGACACATCTATTAAAACATGTATGAGTAAGTGGTATTCCACATTACACTCGTATGATTCCAAGTCAACTCTATTATTTTTACTGACTGCACTAGACTAAAACCACATGGTTACTATGCCCTTGTTCATTTTTCGGTGTGTTGTCTGTTTTTTTTTTTAAAGATGTGTAAACAAAACCTTAGAGAGAGCACGCTGCATAAAAGATAAATAAAATGGCATCGCCAGCTTGCTAGTGTATTACAAAATACCAACCTTCAGTGACTTTATGGTGTAAAAGTTACAGTGTTTTATGTAAAAATCCAGTTAAAGAAAGATGAAGAGAGAAAAATGTTGCATTTTAACATATGGGTATTCTTGATGTTACATACAGATTTAGTAGATATATTAATGTATATATAGTACAGAAAACTTTAACAAATAGGAAAAAAGTCTCAGTAGTGTTGTCTGTAGTAGAGAGGAGAAATTGTGCACTCAGGACATTTTTTCAGTTCCTATAGAAATACACCTAACTTCAGATGTCTCAGTCTAACATAGTCACCTTATAAATTCTTTATTATTAATGGGGAGAAACAGGCACCTCCAGAACATAAATTGACCAGCCCATCTCAGATTGACACAAATTAACCTCTCAGGGTATTTATTTCCTTGTCTTGTCTACAAAGTCTACCTACAGTGGCAAACTGAGAAGTAAATGTGCGATTTTTACACGGAGGAAGTTGTAAGGGCTTCCTCTGCCCTTGAAACAGAGATCATTCCCCACTACACACTGGAATATTCCTTCAAGGCTTTCATTAGTTTTTGTCTTGATGAACATGTGCACCCTAACGTTGAAGCACAGGCCATCCTCAGTAACCAGATAATAAAATAGTTTTGTAATACCCATATTTTCATGTTTTGTTCATTACTTCATTGTTTACTTCTTATATAAGGAAGTCAAATACTTCCAAGCTTTGCAGAAAAAAAAAAATCCCATCCACTTTTCTTGAGATATTGAAAATCAAAACATAAATCAAATCTTTTTTTGTGCTAAATGTTAGAAAACACTCTCCTACCTTCCCCTTCCATATCTAAAGCTGGAAAGAAAATACTCTTTAAAAGAAAAAAAACTACTTTCTGAAAAAAAAAAAAAACCAAAACTTATTAAGAAAACAATGGCTTTACCTATTATAACGTGCATGCCAAGTCTTGCCAAATGCTTCACAGTTTGGTAACCAATTCCTTTAGCACCTCCAGTCACTATAGCAACCTTTCCATTTTGTGTAGGGAAAACTATATGAAGAAAAAGAAATAAAGCAAGGTTAGTTCACAATGGTAACACAATTAAGAAGATGTATTTTAAAGAGGCGTACACTTAACAGACCACTCAAGACAGACCAGTTAGCAACCTCAGAAATAAACTCTGTATGGAAATAAAAACTACTGAGCATCCACCATTATTTGCAGTGCTATAATTTTCCAGTATTAACAGTTCACGAAAGGTTGCTGATACGAAAGACAAACGCAGAGTTCAGAAAGTTTCTCGTATCTATTTGCATGCGTTTTGTCATCCTGCAGGAACCGGCCCTTGAAAATTTCCACCTTAACTTTGTCACAGAGCAAGGTGACAGCTGTTACAAGTCAGCTCAGGGATGGTTTACTCCATGTGTACCGGGGAAAAAAAATTCAATCAGCAGCATGATTACCTGAAAAATTCTTGAATGACAAAAGACAGGCCTCTACCAGTAACATGGGGGAAATGGCAAACAACTCAAAGACGGCACATCTAAAGGGCAGGAGCTGACTGACCTGATTTACCTGCATAACTGAGCACTCTCCCTGTTGAAAATCACAGGCTCCCAGCTTGCAAAGGAAGGCGGGGGGGGGGGGGCGATTTTTGGGGTTAAAACCCCCAGCTGCTTCTCCCACCCACCCCAACCCTCTCCCGCAGAAGCCGGCGTCCCCAGCACCCGCGGCCGGCCCCACACCGCCTCCACCCCAACAGGCCCTCCTCACCCCACGGCAACACCCAGCCCCGTGGGTAGCGCACGCCCCCAGACCCCCTCTGCTCGGGGCTCTCTGCGCCTACGGCCTGTGCCTCCTGCGGCCCCGGGCAGCCCCTTCGGCCGCCGAGCGAGCCAAAAAGTGGCTGGGACAGGCCCCGGCGGGGCGGCCCCCAGAGGGAGGGAGCCCTCCCGCCCAGGGAGAGCAAAGGCACCTTAACCCAACCGCTCGTGGGAGGCATCAATTAGGTCAAAGAGCAAATATTATTTTTTTGGATGAGCTGGCCAATCTTGAATTCACGTGAAGCTCCGTGTGGTCTTCAGGTGACCGAGATGAGTGTCTGTTTGCCTTTTAGAAGAAGCTGCTAGGTATTTGCACAGGGAAAACGGCGACAAAATGTTTCGTTTTGCCGTGGTGCGGTGACCGTAGGCGATGTTAGAGATAACAAATGTCAAGAAGATGCCGACTTTCATCTATCAAAGGACCTTCTATTTTGATTTCTAGGTTTTTAGGGGATTGCTTTGTTGTACAACACAAGCTTATATTTTATATGATTATGAAACGCAGAACTAGTGATGATACAAGCTGCTTTCTTCACAGCAACTTCAAAAAGGACCCAGATTTCACCTTTTCTGACATACGTAGTTCTTTCCAGCACGATTCAACATGAATTTCTGTTCTCTTCAGGTAATGACGTGATTCTTCCCATCCACTCAGAGTGAGAATTGTTTGCCAGTATTTGAAAGTTAATTCCTATTACAGTGATATCCACACATGCAGGTGTCCTAACATATATAATTTGAGCTAAATAAAACTTTGCTGAAAGCTTTCCTAAAGCACTTCAGTTTAGTTATAAGCAGGCCTGCAATTTCCACCAAAAATATTTCTCATGATGAACTCTAAGTAAAATGCCCACATTTTTCTCAATAATTAAAGCCTAGGAATTAAAGCTAGTCTGGACACTAAACACTTGAGTAAACTGTCCGCTCTGGGTAGTACTTTTTAACTGCTTATTACTTTACCAGACTCGGCCTTTTTAGATTATGTTTTCCTGGTCTGTTCCCTGTCAGTGAAGCAGGAAAAAAAAAAAAAAAAAAAAAAAAAAAAAAAAAAAAAAATTCTTCCAGTTTTTGAAAATGCAGACATGAAACAAAGATTTTAAAGAGGAAGAAAAATAAATGTGTGAAACAAGTTGTTGTCACCTGTATGTGAACAGCCTTTGTGCCTTGGTGTGACCGGATACGCTTGAAATTTGGCAAGGACATATAATCTCAAGTCCTTTCAGCCATGGAGTAAAAAATCACTGTCTGAATGATTTGAGTTTGTAAAAAGAGGGACCAGTATGTGCCCGCTGTTTAACATTTTAGACCACATGAACACACAAACACGTTGCTTTGTACCAAAGGCGTGCTGAGAGGAGACAGGTCTCTTAACCAGAAGCAGGGCAATACTCTTTGAAAGATGGTAGACAAACCTGAAACAAAGAGCTTTCTGAGCTTTTGTTAGCTCAAAAGGTTCAAGACTGAAAAATTAACTCTTACAAAGCAAACACCTCTTCGTTCACTTGAGTCCACGCTGCAAGAGCCATTCTGAGGCCTCTCCTGAGGGGTCAAAGAGCTTTAAATCCATACAGGGAGCACTGGCATTGCCTTGGTGTTAAAGCAGGAAAGGCCATTTCTGGCCACGATAGTTACATGTTTGAATTTTGCATATGGCAACTGCGTATGTACTTGTAAAGACAATGCCATCTAGAAGGCAAAAACATGAGCTGAAGTCGACTAAGTAATTGTAAAGTTTAGTTAGTCCAATCATAAACTACATTGAAAATGCTTCTGACACATGATAGAGTTGCACAAATGTGAGGTTTCCTTCCTCCCCAGAGCCGCCCTCCCCATTTATCTTTCATCTCATTTCATCTGTGTGTTTAGGTACAGAATCTGGAGCAAAAAGGAAAATTAAGTCATTTCCATTTTCATTTATTTCACTATAGATGAAAAAACGTACTCCAACACCAACAAAAGGAATTTCCTCCAGAGAAATTGCTTTCCTTTGGGCCCAAGTACCTTCTCCTCCTCTTCTGCCCCCCCACGTCTCCTCTTGCTTCCTCCTCTCTCACCACATTGCCAACCTGACATTTGGATTTCGCATGTTGCATACAGGTGCTGTCATTCATTTCCATTACTGCACCGCTATATCTATCTATTGAATAAGAAGTGAGTAACATTTTAGTGCAACATTAATTCACTTAAAATAAAATTAATGAAAGAAAAGGAGAAAAAAAAAAAAAAAAGTCAGGACTGGGGGGAGGGGCAATAACGCAAAGGAAAAATGGGAAGTCAGAAGAACAAAGTGATATCGGGGATCACTGTGATGAAATGGTGCTTAGCAGAGGACAGTGGAAGAAAATGCCCGGTCCTGTCCTGTCCATGACGCCTACAAAGAAAAGGACAACTTTTGGTCCCAATGGCCACTCAAATCAGATACATTACCACCTTGCAATGAAGAGCGTGACAGATGGACAGACTGCACTACAGAGAGGCATTCAGTGAGATCCTATATTACACAGAGCTTTAAAACAGGCCTGTTTACAGCAACTGGCTCCAAGGACCTAAGAAAGCACCAAGGGAGGGAGAAATGAGGGCTGCACACGCATAGATACATGGCCAGTATCCATTTTATTTAAAACAACTACAGTATACAGCTTCCACAGAGCATGGTTTTGAATAGACACAACACTACATGTCACATCTCAGTATTCTGGCTCTCTTCAGCCAAAGTAGGAAACAAAGAGAAAAACTGAAACACATCTTGGGACACACACACACACACACACACACACACACACACATAGAAATTCCAAATAACAACAAAATAATCCCCTCAATTCTTTATTTTAATTTTTATTAATCTTAAATTAATTTTAATCTGCAGAAATAATGTACTGTTTCCATCAAAACAAATACCTTACTCTAAAGTGAACCTCCATGAAAATGAGACACTGCTAGTTCTTACATCAATAAAAAGTGGTCAAGATCAAATCCAGGCTGTGTGCGTAAGCCAGTGGCACCTACAGTGAAAGGCAGTTTATTGGTGCCCTGTTCCCACTGGAACTCCGCTGGCGGGTAGAGTTTGAGAAACACACACCTTTTCAGTCTGAAAAACACCTCTTCCATGATGAAACCCAACACCAAACTTTCAAAGCAGACCCTGAGCTCAGCCTGGTGAGGCTGGGAGCCCCCCGGGGAAGGAGGCAGCAGAGACCCACCGCCTTTGCCATGCCGGCAAAGTTCCCTCTGGTGCTTCTTGCACCTCATTTAAAACACCCCAGCTTCCTCTCTGCCTCTGCTCCTGGTAGGTAGGTAGATAGTGATCTCAATTACGAGGTGTAATGCCAGTGATCTCACCATGGGACATGAGAACCGTACAGCCCTGGTGCTAATGAAACTCCCTGACCAAGCACTAGCTGTTAATTTCCCTTTGTGTTTGAAGAAACCAGACTGCAGTCCTTAACTGTTGCTTTTTGTCACACCAAAGTTTGAGAGAGGCTTCTCCCAGGCTGCAGGTTCTGCCTGCATCCCAACATATTTGGAAAAAAATGATCAAGTGGATTAAGCTAAAGCATAAAAATAAGGCAAATTTATCCTGTAATAAATATGTCCAGATATTAAGCTATTTAAAAATAATTAGTGTCCTTTTAAATATAGTTCTCCTTAATCTGAAATAACTTCCACGTGCAGAGACATCCTCACACAAAACTCATACTATGAAGAAATCTGGGCAATTCCATCATTTTTAAAAATACTAATTTTCAAGGGAATCTTAAAAAGGGGTATCAGGATGTCTCTGCAACTGTCAAGACCACAGAGAAAACAGACTGTAGACCCATATCAATGACCAGTTCCTGCTGGCAAAATCTCAACTCTGGAGTAGGGATGGGGGTCACTGAAGTAGCCAAATAAAAACAGAGGCATTAAACTTTCTTCTTTGCAGAAATGTACTATGTAAACACAGACAACGCAAACCTCAGGGGAGGAGTTCCCCTTAAGAGTTGCTTGCTTTGGTATCCTGTAATCTTTACAACACAGCCTGTTTGAGGTCAAAATAAAAAAAAAAAAAAAAAAAAAAAAGAAGAAAAAAGTATTAAAAGTTTATTAAAAGCAAACTGCATCAAATTTTTACAAAGTTCTATCTCCTACTAATCTAGCATCTGCATTGTGGAACATTATGAGTCACGTGGATGTTAAAATATTATATCTTTATATTAATCTCTTCATTAAACCCTTTTTTTT